ACAAAGACGAGAAGAAGAAGAAGAAGAAGAAGAAGAAGAAGAAGAAGAAGAAGAAGAAGAAGAAGAAGAAGAAGAAGAAGAAGAAGAAGAAGAAGAAGAAGAAGAAGGAGAAAAGAAAAGAAAGAAATGCAGTTATGCCAGTCACAATTCAAGTCTATTCACTAACCTGTCTCAGGTTGGCAAAAGCTGGCCACCCTCTCTGGCGCGCCTTTCATGAACGCCAGTCGGTCACCGCCCATCTCTTGGATAATGACTGTCATCCTTTGCAGAGCTGATGAGAAGGGGAACTGATGCAAGATTGCAATGCCTTCCACGGGGACCTAGTGGCAGGACAGAGAATCGAGGGCAACATGGCAGAGCTGCTCGCTATCCAGAACTGACCACTCCTCACTGTCCTTATTTTCACAAATAAGGAGGAAATGTCTTCCCACTTTCCACAACTGAGACTCAAAGAGCCATCTGTGAACTTCCAAAGCCAGTCGACCAGAAGGGCATTTCCCTTGGAGTAGGGGCAGTGAGAAGGGAGGGGCAAGTGGGGCTTACCTGGTTGGTGGTCTTGCAGGGCTTAACCACCATGGCATGTGCTGGCACTCCCCTGATGTGGAAATCGTCCTCAGACGCCACCATTTCCTATTTCACAAGTGCAATGCTTCATTGTAGAGATTTGTTTATTGTTCAGTCACTCATGTTTTTCTCCAACCCTCCCCAAGAAAAACACCTCAGCCCACCCGCTGCTTTCTCTACGTAACTTTCCTCTATTAGATGGAGGGGAACCAGGCTTTTTCCATAATGGGGCTGGGAGGGTCCTGTATTAGAAACACTACAGAAGTTGAAGGGCAGATACTCCTGAATTATTCATGCAATTTATCCTGCTTTCTCTGTTGGAATGTGCTGCATAAAGGCTCATTCTCTATTTCTCAAGAGTTTCAATTTAAAGATGGTGAGCGTGACTAGGCAGACTCTGACTTCCCGGGAAGCAGGCACCTTGCTGTCATTCTTTCCTGGCACTCACTCGCTGTTGGTGCTGCCATGCCCTGTCTGTGTGACTTGGGTTGATGGTCTTCAGGGTGGGGCAGTACAGGGCAGGCCAGGGACCACAGTGTGCAAAGTAAGTGTTCAGTAACTGCCGTAATAATAGCTCCAAATTATAGCCAGTGGAACCTTTTACCTAAAGATATCAAAGAGCTTTGTAATCATCTCATTGAGTGGCTGAAAAAAATCTGAGCGGAAATTGTAATCTCTATTTAATGATATGGAAACCATCATCAAGGAAGAATGGAGGATTGGCAAGGTTGCATCGGATTGCTACAGAATCACGCTTTGTCAGAGCTGCCAGGGCACTGAAGACTGAGTACACGCAGTGTGTCACCAGGCCCAGCTAGGGCTGTAAGCAGGTGTAGGGGAAAGGAGGGAGCTATAGTTCAGGACTTGGGAAGAGTGACCCCTACTCCCACACACAGCCCCGCCTTCTAGCTCACCTACAGCAACTCCAATGATTTAGTTTCTAAGGATTGCTTTTGAATAAGGTTTTCCTTTAAGAAAACATTCTAGCTGTTTGTCTTGTCTTATGTGTACATCACGGGTCTGATTCAACCCCTTCATTCTAGTCATGGGAGCCAATGTCCCCCAAGAAGGGAGAATAGCAGAGGGTTAAGCACTTAGTGAGAGAGCAACTAAACCCAGAACTGGAAAGTCCAGGTTCCTGAGCTGCAGAATTTGCTCTTAAATTGTGTTCAGAGTCTCAAGAAAAGTTCTGTAGTGACTTTCCTTTTTGTTACTTCTTTAGAAATAAAATCTTAGGAGCAGAAGAACCCTTGGTTATTGTGAGCCCATGAGCTGCCCTATGCAGTGTGGACTGTGGTGTTTCCTCGTCCCCATGGCATGAGGAAAGAAATATCTTCATTCATCACTTATTTTAGTTAACAATTACTAGTTGCATATGCTTATGGAGTACAGTATGATATTTTAATTTATGTACATGCTGTAGACTACTCAGTCAGGCTAATGAACGTACTCATTTGCCATGCCAAATTAATTTTTAAAGATTTTGAAATCAAATGTTGCTCATAGAATAGTACAAAGAGTTGATAAATAATTGTATAACAATAATATTAGCAGTATTGAATTTATGACGTGCCAGGCACTGTACTGAGAAGCTTTTAATGCATCATCCCACTGAATTTTCACAATAATCCTGCAATGTAAATAAAATTCTCAGCTGCCCTGTACAGATGAGGAAAGCAGCCTCATACTAGTTGGAATTTTGTTTCATTTGGAGGACTCGTATTTTTCTAGGCATGAATGAGGTCTGTGTCGCACTGCCCTTGAAGAAGCATCTCAGATTCTTTAAAAGGCAGAGGCTTACCCAGGTGGTGGCTTCAAACATCTTGAGGTCCAGAGGATCCCCCTGAATGGTCCCATTGAGCAGGATCAGAGAGTGGCAGCTGGCCATGGCTGCACAAAGGGGGCCCCACGGCAAAGCCTTGCCAGAAGCAAAGCTGTGGACTTCCTGGAAGCTAAAAGAGAAAAGAGATGGGGCTTCAGTACTAACCCTTCCTGCCAACACTGGAGCTTCTTGGGAGTCACTATCTTCTAGAAAGCGATCTAATATGCTTTATTTCTTTAGACACCCACTCGCCAACCCTTCCACATTGGGAGTGCTGGATCCAGCCATCTTCCTTGAATAAGTCACTGAATGTCTGAAAGATTGCAAGGTGATTTCAAGCTCTTTTTTCTTAATTTTCCCTACTTCTTCTCAGACTGATTTAGTGCCACAGAAATTGTAAGAATTGGATGTATTACCTTTGGTTCTGAGCTTGCCCATTTCTACTCCAACTGTGAACTATTTGTTTTCCAGTTTTACGGACAGAAAAATACTAGTTCCTACTCTAGCTGTGCATAGGCTCATTTCCTTCTATCAGTCCTTCAGGACAGGGTTGGGTCTTCTGCACCCTTCTCCTGCCATCCTTGATGTGTGGCTCACAGCTGACCGTCAGTAACTGTGTGAGTGAATGAATTAATGGATTGGCTCCTAGAAATCTGCAAAGCCACAATGGTTAAGAAATGAACAGTAGAAACTTTTTTGAAAAGGATAATGTGGACTTCACTGGAACATCCTGGTTCTACATGGCTACTATTGTCCCAAGAAACTCTTATGAAAAATGACATCATTGACAAATCTATGGGAATACAAGCCATATACAGGATTCATGTCATATACAGGATTCTTTTACTAATTCAGGATGGAAGTTATTGAGTTCAGACACAGGCCCACTGGAGAAAGCTTCTGCATCCCCATTGGTCAGCCCTCTCTTTAATGTGTAATGTAAGAGTTGGTTTACAAAATAGTCACATTTGGGAGATAGCTCAATGGCAAGAGTTCCATGCTACATAGAAGTAAAGTTTACTTCAGGGAGCCAGTCAAAATCTACTTGCTCACTCTCCTCCATGTTCCTACTCCTTTTAGATTGCAGATCATCTCTGCCTCAATCCCCCTATTTTCCATCCTCCCATCCTCTGGGGCTACCCAGGAATCTCTGGATGTTCCTCAATCCCAGTTCTGTCTGAACTTGCACCTCCACAGCTACTCTTTCTTGGAAACATTTTTGTCATGGTTTATCTCAAAATGTGACCTCAAGATATAGGCTTATGTTCACCGCTGTGTTCACTTCACTTCTTGAAATACAGTCTTTAGCGGAGCTCGCCTTTTGTTTTTGAAAGGATCAGTACCACAGTGTTAACTCACAGCTCCACTATGTTCTTTCCTGGGTTTTGCTTTCTTTTGTCACACTGAATTCAAAAATGTCTTGGCTATATCTTCAGGTCTTATTCATTGCTAACCATCAAAATAATCAAAATCATTCTAGTAGCATGCAACATGCCCAATGTATAAGAGTAAACATCTCAAGGAACGAGATCACCAGTAGTGTTGTTAACACAATGGCTTAAGCACAGACTAATATTAAGTGAATAATGTTAAGCAGAATAAATCCAACAAGCTTAAACATTGAATGATTTCTCCTATACGAGAAACTCCAGGTATAAATGAATTAAAAAGCAAAATAAAACAAAGATGTTAGGAAAGAGAGAGATCTTTTGCAAAATGGAAGGGGTCCAAGAGATGGAAAGATGGGGTAAGGAGAGGAGGGGAAGGAAAGGAGATGTACAAAGAAGTAAGATATATTGTGTACAAGCACCAGCAGCACACATGATAGAATGTCATCACTATGGATTCCAAACAATCACTAATAAAAATTTAAAAAGATAAATGGGTACCGGGGACAATGCAGGAGAAAAATAGAAATCAAAAATAAAAAGAAAGTATATATCAATAAAGGGGGGAAAGTTACATTTTTAAATCATTTATTTATTCATTCATTCATTCATTCATTCATTCATTCACTTGGTACAGGTTCTTGCTACGCAGCTCAGACTGGCATGGTATGCAGTACCAGAGATTGAACCCAGGTCCTTGTGCCTGCCAGGCAGGTACTTAGAATGCTGAGCTATCTCCCCAGCCTGAAAACTCCCTTATTTTAACCATGGCCAATAGTCTTCTCATCAGTCTGCGTCATGATGATATGATCATGAATGCCAGAAGACTGGGCCTGACTCTGGTCATCACAACAACTCCTCAGACCTCTCTGTCATTCCAGTCCTCATATTTTTTTGCAATTTATCAAGTTCAATTAGCTTTCCACATCAACCTCAGATGGCTTGAGATATCTGCAGCATTGGTCGGGCCATTGCAGAAAAGGTAAGAATGACCAGAGATGAATAAGCTCATGACTAACAATGCAATGGCAAGCAGAGACACCCAAGTGATGGCAAGGTTTTGGAGGCAGATTTATTTACATCGGTGGGCACTGACCAGAATGGTCGAGGGTTTATAAGAGATATGCAAGCAAGAAGTGTAGAAGCAGAATGGCTTGTCGATTAGATATTGGTTTACACACTGTGCATCACAGTGACAAGCTGTTTCTAAGAAACCAGAAGCAACTGGAACAGGAACTATCACCTGGGCAACAAACACACTGAAGTATACTGGGTGGGGGGGATTTCTGTTATAATTTCCCCCTCTTTTAGTTTCCCTGGAAAACGTCCCCTGGGCACATTACATGGAAGACAAAGCCCAACTAGAAATAGTGACATAAAGGCTGCCAGTGATCCTAGGATAGGCCCTAGCCAAGCTGCCTGAGATTGTCCTCCTATAGAGTTTTTCCTTTAAGTTGTTATTAGGAAGAGACATAATTTAAGGCTATCTGTTCTGTACATTTCTCTGGCAAGGTAGTGAGGGAGTTAATCTCACCTAGGAGAGTGTCCAGGATCCCTTGGACTCTCAGCAAATCTTGGTCAAGGGTTTGATTGATTGCTCTATTCCCTTGGGGCAATCATCTTTAGAATTTAAGGCCAAGAAAAAAGGTGAGTAAGGGGCAGGGAAGCAAACACTGGAGTAAGCATCCTAAAAATACCCAAAAATCTAGGGGAATCAGAATCGGCATAGAGTAATCCTGTGAGCTGTGTCCTCAGACTTCAGCTGGGCTTCAACTGCTTACCACCCAGTGATCAGAGCCGGGCTTTAAATGCATCATCTCAGAGTTGACAACTGTCTGGTCCCAGTAAATTTTTCCGCAGATTTCTGAAACTTGTTCAGGTAGGTAATATGTACCTGGGTTATATGTGTATGAGTTGCAAGGTATTTTTTTCAACTCTTTTAGAACTTTGTGGCGTGTAGGCTGTATGTAGTTTTTGCTTAATCTCCTTTCAGCAGTTGCCTCTGCTATACTGGGGAGATAGCTCAGTGGAATAAGTGCTTGCCTGGCAAGCGCAATGTCCAGAGTTTGATCCCTGGTAAGACAAAAATAAATAAATAAATAAATAAATAAATAAATAAGTGTAGTTGCCTCTGCTACAAATGCAAGCCCGTTGTCTCTGCCAATGATCAAGGGGAGGGCATATTTAGGGATAATCTCTTACAGCAGGAACCTACAACCTTTTATTGCCCTCTCAGCTCAGATAGGGAATGCCTCAGGCCAACCTGCATAATGCATATAAGCACCCACAGATATCCTTGAGGTAGAGGTTGGGGTTAGTGAACCAGACTCCGAAGCCTGCGCTGGCTGCAGGGGTACAGGTGCCAGCACTTCAGCTTGAGCCTGCAGAACAAACAGTGGGGGCAGGTCTGGCTCTGATCTTCTAAGTGTACCTGGTTGCAGTCCATTGAATCCCCAGAGGGAGTTAGGCATCTGGACCGAATTATTTGGCGTCATTGGTGGCAGGTGTCCAAACAGCAGCAACAAGCAGCTTTCTGTGCAGATCATCCCTGCAGGAGAGTTTTGGCCAAAACAGTTTGCACCAAGGTGACCATGGCATATCTAGCCTGTTGGACTTCATTTCTAACACAGCTACTTCCGTCTGTGAATAGGATGCACTTAACACCCATCAGGGGGTCCATTTATTAAGCCAGATTGACACCAGGACAGTTTACCAGCCAGCACCCAGAAGTCAGCTGGGCTTGGTGTGTGAGCAGGATTGTGGAGCTAGCTGGGAATTTTTGCCTGGGTACTGGATGAGGTCATGAAACACCTGGAGAGTTAAGTCTTGGGCCTAAGGTGAGCTTGTCAGCTTTTTGGATCAGAAGAACAGTGGTTGCTAGAGTACAGAGGCAAAGGGGGAGAGGCAGGCCTCAGCAACTGAATCACAGGTAGGCCACTGGGTGCTCCCAGGGGCTGACAGTTTAACTAAGCATCATTTTTTTGGTGAACCCAAGAATCCAGAGTCCATAGAAGCTAGAAGCTCCAAGAAAAAAATGCAGTTTTTGTAATCAGTTTCTGCCAGATCTTGTAGCAGAGCTTTTGTGTCTTTCCAAGAGGCAGCTTGGATGCCATTCATCAGAAGTGCTTTTTCGAAGAAGAAACAAGGTTTTGAACCTCTAGGAGGTTTTAGTTCAGGTCAGTCAGCTTTTGAGTTGAAAACAAGGGCCTTTGCAAAGAGGGGCTGGCTGACAGGAGCCAACTGAAGGCGGAAGAAAGCATTGCTCAGGTCCAGGCAGGGGGGCCCGCAGGCTGTGGGTGGCAAAGACCGGGCAGCATATGCAGAGGGCAGTCACGGAAGCACTGGCAGCTAAGAGACCTTGAACTGGCTTTACAGACAGGAGAGGAGGTGGATTGTAACATTTGACAGTCCACACGATTGACTCGGAGGGCTGTGATGGGGCTGGAAGGGACAGAGAAACCTCAGAGAAAAGGTGTTGGGGGCTCAGCCAAACCTGTTATTAGATCCTTCCTGAAAATAGTGGGAGAGCTCTTAACCCCTTGTAAAACGTGAGTCCAAGTGAGTTGCATCTTCTCAGGATTTTCCCAGTTAAAAGGGCTTAAGGGAGGAACTTGTAAGCAGAGGAGGGTATCTTAAATCTAGACACAAAACAGTCGAAAATGGGTGTATGAGTTGAGTGTTGCTATTGCCCAAGGTCTGTCAGGCTGATGTGTGGCCGGATGACTGTTCTTCCTGTGACATCTGACAACAGAATATTGGTTGCAGTGAGGTGGCACAGTTGACAGCTGGGCCTCCAGGTAAGTTTTGGCTCCTTCCTCTGGAGGGAGAGTTTTCAGAACTTCAGGATTGTGGTTATCTGTCTCAGGCTGATGCGGGCGTCATCTTCCTCTCAGGGAAGAGTGAGAGTTGAAAGTGCAGGGTGAAGTGAAAGGGAGGCTAAGCAACTTGGCGCAAAAGGTACTGTACCTTCTAACCTAAAGAGGAGGTCTCTTCTCAGGAGCAATACGGGGACTGGCTTGCCCAGGAGATGTCCTTTCAGACTGCAAGTTTGTGCCCTGGCAGAAGGGGAGAAAAGCAAGAGTCCTAGTTGCCTGGATGATGGTACTACGGGCTTCTGGTGGTCCAGCTGAAAAAGGAAGCCTAGTCTGGCATACCCTGAGCCCATCAGACCAATGAAAGTGTTGTCCTCTGATCTAGGTCAAAGCTTTAGAAAGTTCTTATTTTTTTTTAATCTGAATAAACATTTATTTGTTAATGTCCACGGACTTCATAATTCATAGCCAGAAGGTATGATCATGTATCAGACTGGATTTTCTTATGGACATCAGGTACTCTTCTTTTATCAGGTTTCTGGGTATCGGAGATTAATGGGGTTTTTGTTCTAACCCCCTCCCCCACCTTTATAAAGTCTTTGAGAAGCATTTGACTGACTTTAGGTTTCTAGGCTGGGTAACCTTTGGGAAACGCCGGGGCAACTCACTTCCTCAGTCAGAATGCGGAACTCAGAGAGAGTTGCTGCCTGTCATCTCAGGTAGGCCTCAGATGGAGCCACCTGACTAGATTAGGCGCAACCACAAAGCAGGAGGTTTGGGAGGAGGGCTCTCTGTACCAGGATACAGAGAAATCCTTGCTCCGGCTGCAAGGGCCACAGCCAGTGACCAAAGAGAAACACGGACACAGCACCCAGGGTTCCGAGGCAGGTTTATTCGTGTTGACAGGTACTGGTCATGGTCATTCTCGGGATATCAGGCCCTGGTCTCTGGGGGTCTAGGGCTTCTATGAGATAAATAAGCAGAAAGTACAGCAGCAGAAAGACTTGTCCATTGGGGATTGGTTTATACACTGTGCCTCCTAGTGACCAGCTACTCATCACAGTGACCAGCCTTTTCTAAGAGACAGAAGCAACTGGACCTGGGACAGGAACTGTCCCCTAGGAAACTAACAACCTGAAGTATACTGGGGGGAAGGGGGCTCTGTTACACCAGGGTGTTTAATATCTGAGAAGGTAGGCACTGACTGCTTACCTAGAATTAAATATTTCCTCACATCTCATGAAGTATGGTTGTCAATTTTTTATGTTTTAATGTGCAATTTTAGTCTTTGGAGACCAAATCTGACCTTATTAAAGAAAAGGAAAGGTGTCC